CTAGCCTTGAGCTGAAGAGCTGAGGGACAGCATCCAGACCCAGAGTTCATGCCCCACGATTGACAAAAATAAAATTTAAAAAATCCTGTATATCACTAAGATGTTTAATATCTATGTGCACTCTTGTAATAATAATTTAGTTCATGAATCTTGCATATCTCTATTGTGGTCCAGGGAAACACACATTTTTCTTTTCTTTTTTGGTTGGTGGTGGGGCCTGAACTCTGGGCCTGGGCGCTGTCCCTGAGCTCTTCAATTCATGATGAGCACTCTATCACCTGAGCTACAGCACAGCACCACTTCCGGCTTTTTCTGCTTATGTGGTGCTGAGGAATAATCGAACCCAGGGCCTCCTACATGCAAGGCAAGCACTCTACCACTGAGTCACCTTCCCAGCCCCTGCTTTTTTGTTTAAATTGCTGACAACTGTCTTGCCAAAAAAGCAGTTCTGTCTGGAACCTGTAACTAAAAAGAAATGACAGGATTTTTGAACCACTACCGGTTTCTAAAGATTATTGAAAGGATTAAAAACCTAATGGTGGCTAAATCTTTAAATTGGTCTTAAAATCTTGGTAAGACTAGGATCCTCTAGGAGAGGATACTCTAGGAGAGGGGATAGCTGAGGTGGATGTGGAGAAAAGGAAGTGAGTACACCCAGAAATTGCTGCAACATTACTACAGACAGTTACTTCTCTGCCCCCTAGCTTAAACTGGGGTGTCATGACAAATCTGACTCAGCACTACGGCTTTACGTTCACCTTGATTCGTGATTTTACCAAGCAAACGAATGCAGTAAAATGCTCTGCCTCAAATGTGGGTAAAAAAAAACTAGAAATGGGAAACAAAAACCATGAAACAGACCCAACGTTACAGTGGACCTGTGACAGGTTGATGCCTTCCGCTAGAAAAGCCCAAGATGGCCGGACTGGGGACCCAGGGAGACTTAGTGACAGAGTCCAACATCCCTCGCCCTCAGGATGTCCAAAGGAAGTTGCGCCGAGCCACGCCCCCTGACATCACCAACCGCCACGCCCCCTAACATCACCAACATGCGCAATCCTGCACCTTCCGAAAACGTGCCGCAGGGCTTAGGCCCCGCCCCACGAAAAGCCGAGCGGACTAGCGCTGCGCGCGTGAAGCATGCCGGGACCAGCTCTCGAGACATCCGACAGCCTTTGCGACGGGCGTGGTGCGTCAGGAGCTCGCCGGCGGTTCTCCGTAAGATGGCGGACCGGCGGCGGCAACGCGCTTCGCAGGACACCGAAGACGAAGAATCGGGTGCTTCGGGATCGGACAGCGGTGGCTCTCCGGGGCGAGACGGTGGCAGCTGCAGCGGGAGTGCTGGAGGCGGCGGCAGCGGCTCTCTGCCTTCCCAGCGGGGCGGCCGTGCCGGGGCCCTGCATCTGCGGCGGGTGGAGAGCGGGGGGGCCAAGAGCGCGGAGGAGTCCGAGTGTGTGAGTGCGCCGACGGGGCGGGGCCTGGGGGCGGGGCGGGGCCCTGCGGGGGCGGGCCGCAGGCTGTGGGAGATGCTGAGGCCTATTTTATTACTGAAAGACAAGCTATCCCACGGTGGAGGTTGCAACCTTGTGGAGCCCCGAGGGAAGGAGGGGTCGGGGTTTCAGAGGAGCGCAGAGCAACTGCTGTTGCAGCTGGAAAGCGGTTGTTTGTATAGAAATTGGGGCCAGGGACGTACACACACCGGCCTGTGTCGGATTATACTTGTTAAAGATTTATCTTTGTTGTCTCTCCATTCAACCATTTTGTGTTGAGTCGTCAGCTCTCCCCCACATTTCTTTATTGAGCTCCCCACTTTTGGGAATCACAAGAGCTAATCCATGTCTTCTTCTCTTCAGGAGAGTGAAGATGGCATGGAAGGCGATGGTGAGTAGCATCTCTTTGCCTCATTATGGCAAGATTTTTGCACATAAAAATTCAGGCCACTTATTTCCAACAATGGATTTCTCCCAGACTCTTAAGGGCTGAGTGGAGGGGGGGGAAGCGGGGTGGGGGGAGCGAAGAGATTGCAGCAGAATGGCTTTTTGCAACATAGTGGTTAAGAACTGGCTCTTGATTTTTGTCAGTGTGGTTTTACTCAGCTAGTTGCCCTATTTGTAAATGGAGACTATAATTTTGTTTCCTCGTGGGTTGATGGTCAGAATTTAGGGAGTGTTTTAGCCTCATCCATTATAAGCAGCTAGGAACGTAATTATGATTGTTTTTGTTGCTTTAAAAAATCTTCACATATTTTTTTATTCCATTTCAGCTGTTCTCTCAGATTATGAAAGTGCAGAAGACTCAGAAGTGAGTGTCATAGATTCTTTTTCTTTATGGTCTTAAGTCAGACAATGTTTATAAAAATGTGCTCATTTACAGTTCAAAATTACTGTGACCTACTTGTTTCTCCTCTTGTGTATTCTTCTTTTATACTTTTTTGTTTGTTTGTTTTGTCGGTTGTGGGTCTTGAACTCTGGGCCTGGGCGCTGTCCCTGAGCTCTTCAGCACAAGGCCTGCGCTCTACCCCTTTGAGCCACAGAGCCACTTACGGTTTTCTAGTAGTTAATTGGAGATGAAGAGTCTTACAGACTTTCCTGCCCTTGCTGGCTTTGAACCATGATCCTCAGATCTAAACCTCCTGAGTAGCTAGGATTACAGGCAAAAGTGCTCAGCTTTCATTTATACTTTGTTGTTGTTGTTGTTGTTGTTTTTGGTCCGTTGTGGGGCTTGAACTCTGGGCCTGGGTGCTGTCTCATAGCTCTTCAGCTCAAGGCTAGCGCTGTACCACTTGAGCCACAGCACCACTTCTGGTTTTCTGATGCTTAATGGGAGATAAGAGTCTCACAGACTTTCCTGCCCGGGCTGGCTTTGAACCGTGATCCTCAGATCTCAGCCTCCTGAGTAGCTAGAATTATACATGTGAACCACTGCTGTCCTTTGAAAATTCCCATCTTTAAGAAGTTACACAAAAGAAAACATTTCCAAAGGAATGAATGAACAAAAACAGGCTTTTTCATTTACTACTGACACCTCCACCTTTTTGTTGGTTAATTGGAGTTAAGATTCTGTCAGGCTTATCTTCCAAGGCCAGCTCTGAACAGAGATCCTCAGATCTTAGCCTCCTGAGTAGCTCAGGCTATAGGTGTGAACCAGTGGTGCCCCCTGATTTTGTACAGTTTTGTCTTTATGAAATAGAAGAAACATTTGCTTCAAGAAGTGGGATTGTGCTGGGCACAGATGGCTCATACCTGTAATCCTAGCTACTCAGGAGGCTGAGGTCTGAGGATCATGGTTCAAAGCTAGCCCAGGCAGGAAAGTCCTTGAGACACTTATCTTCAATAAACCACCAGAAAACTGGAAGTGGCGCTGTGACTTAAGTGGTAGAGCACTAGCCTTGAGCTGAAGAGCTGAGGGACAGCACCCAGGCCCAGAGTTCAAGCTGCATGACCAACCACAAAATAAAAATAAAAAAAGAAGGGGCTGGGAAGATGGTTCAGTGGTAGAGCGCTTGCCTTGCATGCCTGAGGCCCTGGGTTGGATTCCTCAGCACCACATAAGCAAAAAGAAAAAAGCTGGAAGTGGCGCTGTGGCTCAAGTGGTAGAGTGCTATCCTTGAGCTGAAGAGCTCAGGGACAGTATTCAGGCCCAAAGTTCAAGCTCCACAACTGACAAAAAAGAAAAAAACAACAAAAATGTTTAGCTGGGCGCTGCTGGCTCACACCTGTAATCCTAGGTACTCAGGAGTCTGAGATCTGAGGATCATGGTTCAAAGCTAAGCCCTTGAAACTCTTTATCTCCAGTTAACCACCAGAAAACCAGAAGTGGTGCTGTAGCTCAAAGTGGTAGAGCACTAGCTTTGAGCAAAAGAGCTCATGGATAGCAACCAGGCCCTAAGGTCAAGCTCCATGGCTGACCAAAAAACAAACAAAAACACAAATAACAACCAGTGTTTTGAAAAAAAATGGGCTAGAGCTGTGCACCAGTGGCTCACATCTCAGGATGCTGAGATCTGTGGATTGTGGTTTAAAGCCAACTAAGGCAGGAAAGTCCTTATAAGGCTCTTATCGCCAATAAACTACTCAGAAAAAGCTGCAAATGGCACTGTGGCTCAAGTGGTAGAGTGCTAGCCTTGAGCAAAGAGAGGCTCAGGGACAGAGCCCAGGGTCTGAATTCAAGCCCTAGGACTGGCCAAAAACAAAAACAAGGACTAGACTGGGTACCAGGGTTCATGCCTGTAATTCTAGCTGCTAGGAGGCTGAGATCTGAGGATCACTGTTTGAAGCCAGCCCAGGCAGGGAAGTCTTAGAGACTGTTAGCTCCAATTAACCACCAGAAAACTGGAGGTGGAACTTTGGCTCAAAGTGGTAGAGTGTTACCTTTGAGCAAAAGAGCTCATGGACCCATGACTCCTCTACCCCCCAAAAAAGGGCTGGAAGTGGTATTGTCTACCTAGCATGATCAGGCTCAAGGCTTGAGTTCAAGCTCTAGTATAACCAGGAAAGAAAAAATAAATAGGTCCAACCATTGCTATAATCAGTTTAAGAATATTTTCATCACTTCAAAACAGAAACTGGAGGCATTGAAGCTTGTATTCCTATCTACTTAAACTGGAGGAGATTGGAAGGAATGAAGTTTGAGGCCAGCTGGAATAAAAAGTTTATGAGGGGCCGGGCACGGGTGGCTCACGCCTGAGATCTGAGGATCATGGTTCAAAGCCAGTGAGGGGAGGAAAAAAAAAAACCAAAAAACCATAAGTGGCGCTGTGGCTTAAGTGGTAGAGCGCTAGCCTTGAGCTGAAGAGCTGAGGGACAGCACCCAGGCCCAGAGTTCAAGCCCCATGACCGACCAAAAAAAAAAAATGTTTATGAGAACTTAACAAAAAGCTGAGCATGAAGGTACATGCCAAAACACAAAATAAAACAAAAATTAAAAAGTCCTGGATTTATTGAATTTCAACTGCAGTGCCCTTAGCAGGCCAGACTAAATAATTTTGTTGGCCAGATAATCCTCACCCCCATATATGCTTATGTACACACAAATGCACATCCACACATTACTATGTATATAAACATATGCACATGTTCATATATAATTATCAGTGATGGTGTGGGTGTGGTGGGGGGGTGTCCTGGGGCTTGAACTGTTG